GTCCCCGTTCCTGAGCGCGCACCCCGGGCAGCGCGCGCGGGGAGCTGGGGACGCTTAGTCCATGCGCGCCGGCTCCGCACTGGTCGCCGCTGGGAAGCCCCGCATCTGGTCCTCAGTGTGCGGAGCCAAGGCCTGGAAGACCTCTCCGGTGTCTAGCCAAGTTGAAATGAGGCCACAGCGCCGGACCCCAGCTTTATAAACCCTAATCCGCCCCCATCCTCCGAACGCTGTGAGCCACGCCCTAAAGAACACCTGTGTGTAGTTCTAGGGTGGGTCCGCCGCTCAGGGAATCAACGGGGATTAACGCTAGTGACGACACTAGATTGGGCGCACTAAGGGCCAGTAGGAGCTTAATTTCACCCTGAGTACAACCCAGTGAAACGAGTTATATCATCCCCATTTTACAGATGAGGAAACTGAAGCTCAGGGAAACTAAATTAACTTGCATGTGGTCACATAACAGGAAAGAGGTGACACTGGAATTTGAATCTAAACAGCTCAAGTCCACTGTGAATGCGCATCTCTGAAAAGGTCGAGGAATTGAGGCCCAGAGGGAGAAACGGATTTGTCAAAAGTCGAATAGTTTAGCTACATGAGGTAATAGCCTGTGTCTCATTTTCCCCCAAAAGTGTCTGGTACGGAGACATCCTACTAAATACTTCTTGAATGAATGAATGAGTGAATGAATGAGTAGCTGTTTCCTCTAAAGCAGTAGGGCCTTAATCAGGCCAGGCCAAGACACCATCCTTGAGGTACCCTTACCCTCATCCTAGGAGTGCAAAATTTTACTATTACAAGTATTACTACTAAAAAGAACAGTTTAAGATTGGTTTAAGATACCAGCATCGATTACATCGAGTTTGACTAGAGCATATCGGATTACATCATAATCAGATCACTGTCAGCAATTTGGCAATGGATGAGCCTGACCTCTCACCCAATGTGGGAAAGCCCAGCGGCTCTTCAAAAAGAAAAACAATATAAATTGCTTCTTCAAATGAGATTTCATTCATTATGTTGAGAAGCCCTCCCGCCTGTGTTCTCACCTCTCTGCTTGGTGCTTTTTCTTCTGCAACTAATACTTTCCAAGGTGTAAACTGTCCACTTATCCTGTCTTGCCACTGGGCTGTTTATTTATCAAGTGCAGTGACTGACTTGTCCAACTTTAAATTTCTGTTGACCAACACAATCCAGTCCATATAATCAGCATTGGATAAAAAAGTCCTTAAAGATAAATGATCACCCACTTGGTGCCCTAAGAAAACACATCAAACTGTGAGTGAGGAGACTTGGATTCTAGTTCTAGAGTCTCCCTCTTCTGTATAGCAAATGTTTTACACTTCAAATGCCTTCCATTTTGAAAGTGTTGCATTGGTGTAATGGAAAAACGGTTCCATTCTTAAAGCAGAATTGCTAAGTGACTGAGTGACCTGGGACACAAGAGACATTTTGCACATAATGTTACCCAGGGAGATCTCAACAACCAGAAAGAAAAAAAACAATGTATGGTGCTGGGGGCTACTGGAGAGAGTGTACCCCATCCCTCCACCCCACCTATGTCCCCTGAGGAAGGGTTACTTGCAAAGTAAGGAACACTTACTCTTAGTATTTAAGTACTTCTCATATCAGTTAATTATGTCGTATGTGTCATCCTGATTAAAAGGAAAGTTTTTAACCAGTTCTAAAAATGATACTCTGTATATGTTCACTGGAGATGGTTCACCAAATCTTTGGTTTATGCAAGAGTTTTCAACACCAGAATGAGTTCCCTAAAGTCAGAGGCTGTTTTGTCCATCTGGATCAGCAACACCTAGAACACAGGTGACATTCCATGAAGGTTTCTTGAAAACTGAACTAATTCTTATTCACCTTAAAGCTAGCCCAAAGTATCATCTGAAAACCTGAGGGGGATTCTCTAGCTCTCTTAACTGTACTATAGAGCCCCCTATGAAAGGACTTAAAAAACCATCTTTAAAAACAACAACAAAACATGTTCAGAAGGCATGTTTAAGGCTATATTTGGGGAGAGAAAATAAGCAGGGAGGCTCTCATCTTTTGCTATGCACACTTTTGACTTTTTGCAACAAATATGATCTATTTTTATAATGAAAACAACTTAGAGGTATTTTAATTTTTGGAAAAAAGCAATCCCAGGCTGATTGGCACTAGGGTCATTTAAAACACTGAAAGACAAGTGAAAAAAAAATGTCTTTAATAGCAGAAAGGAGCCCGTGCCTTTCATGAAATGGTCAAGTGGGATTCTGTGGGCTAGACAGTGCGTTGAGTGAGGCATACTGGTGAGTGGGGGTTTCCCCCTTGGGCCTCTCCTGGCTTGCGCTCTGCCATTCCTCTGTCTTACGAAGTAGGCAGTACCTGTGGTTTATTGGACAATAGGTGTAAAGGACACCGGGTTGGGGCTCAGTGACAACCTGAGCTCCAGTCCCCACCTCTGCCAATGCTAACTGTGGTCAAATTACTTAAATTAAACTGGTTGAAATAATTTCTTTATAGATTTCTTGTGAGGCTTATTAATATGTTAAGTAACTAATATAGAGTAGGTATTTTTAAAAAGCAATTATTAGGGAAAATTCATTGCGTTGGTAAAGAGAATACTGTATTCTTCTGTAAAGGAGAATGTAACACCCTCCATCTGAGCAGTTCTGTTCTGCACGGCTGTAGCTGCTGTTCTCTTCCCCAGTGGGCTCGTGTTTCTGAATTGACTACATTCATCTTTGTTTCACATCCTTCAGACATGTTCAGTTGGTTGTTTTACTTAAGGATGGCATCTTTCTGAGTTTCACAGGCTGTATTTGCCCTCTTCAAATACAGTAATGCAAATGGAGACTGCCAGCTCCAGGGAATGGTGTCTGAGATTCAAATTCCACACCTTTTTTGGCAGGAGAGAGACCATGATCATGAAGGGGGTTCTCCCAGGACGAGGCTCATCCATTGCACTCTGGATGTGCTGACCCCTGCGATTTCCCCAAATGTGGGAAACTTGACTGCATAATTTGTGGTAGTGGGGGGACTGCGTTCATGCTTTCCCCTATAGAGAAAAGAAAAAAAAATCTACACCTTTCATAGACTTGCCTTGAAGTTCCATTAAACTCTCTACTGACTAGTTAAGGATATGAGGCCTAGAAACACTCTGAGGCCCTTTGTTTAAAGAGGGCAGACTGAAGCATTCTATAATGTCCATGAAGAATAGTCCACTGAAAATTTGTATTTACCAGGGGGAAAAAAAAGCTACCATAAAAATTAAAATGTAACAAGTATATACTTTGATACTTTTATACTATGAACTAATATAAATTGTATCTGAGTAACTGCCTTCCCTTAGCTCTTTATCTTGTTTCATTTGTGTTATGGAGTCTATCACAATTTGAAATTGCCGTATTTAGTAGTTCATGTTTTTATAGTCTCTTCCAACTACGTAATCTCTGTGAGGCATCACTGTGGCTAAAACTACCTAGAACCTATTAGGCACTCAGTATTGACTGAGTTGAATGAAAACTACCTCAGAGAATTATTGTTTGGATTTAATGAGAGTATATGTGAACACACTTGGCAAAGTGCTATCAACCAAGAATGTTATTTTAATTAATCCTCACTATCCACTTTTCAGATAAGAAAATTGATGCTTTGGAAACTTAAGGGACATATGCCCTCAGCCCCCAAAACTGAGCGTGTGGTTGTGGTCTTTGCTGAGAACACCCTTGGAAGGAAGTTGTTAGAAAAGTGCGAGCAAAAGGCAGCTGGCCTGGAACACATGGGGCCAGACAGTAAAGGGAAGGAAAGGAGAGGGGTCAGGGAGAGGAAGGAGAGATTGACTGATTGGATTAAGTCTGGGCTGATTAAAATTTCACCCCTCCCTATCACCCCTCACTAGCAAAGGTCCATGAACTCTGAGTATGGGTGTCCACAGATTCTCAACAGGGTCCATGACTCCCTCCTCCTTTTGGGAAAACAAACCAACAAACCACAGGGTTAAGTAGAAAAGATTAAGGAAGCAGCACCACAGCTGGGGTGGGAAAAATAGTGCTGCTTGTTGAGTGCCTTCTAGGCGGCCCAGCTCTGTGCTGCCTTTATGTGTCATCTCTCCACCTTCCAACAACCTCACGAGACATGTTAAAGGTGGAGAACCCAAAGCTTAGAGAGGTTAAGCAACTAGCTCAAATGTAGCAAAAGACAAATCCAAAACATGAACCAGGGTCTGCTCAGCCCCGAAGCCCACACTGGCCAAATTCCCTGTCTGAACACCTGGGTCACCTCTCCTCCTTCCCTGACTCATTGCAGGACTCTCGTGAAGCCTGCTTCCTCATCTGTTAACTGAGGAAGCCTGATGTATCAAAGTAGTGATAACAACAACAATGATGGTAGCACTACTACCAATTCTTGGCGCTTACAGTGCGCCACACATTATACCAAACAGTTTGCATTAATTATCAACTTTGCCTGCAATATATAGATCATATAATCTCTATTTCACAGTTGAGGAAACTGAGGGTTTGTGACCTACCCAAAGCAGCACAGCCGGGAGTCAAAACTAGGTCTGTCTAGCACCAAAGCTCAAGCTCTTTGACTTTAGGCTGCCTTGCCTCCCCTTGCCAGAGAAGCCACTTGGGGAGACACCACCCAGCTGACACACTTCATTCATTCATTCATTCACTCCAGCTCTGGTGTTGGAGTGGATGGAGAAAGGCGAAAGACAGTACCAGATGAATCTGGTGAGGAAGGCAGGGCAGATTATGGAGGGTTTTAGAAACCATGGTAAGGACACTGTATTTATTGTAAAGTTTTATGGAACCTAGGTAGGAGAGTTATAAAACCTATAAATTATTTTAACACTGCAGACAATGTATCAAGAAGAAAGGACTACAATTAATTTGTTACCGTGCTTTAAAACAAAATCCCTTACAACAGTCACCAGATCAGAGGGACCTGACTTAATCACCTTATATAAAATAGTGCACATGTGCACACACACACACACACACACACACACACACACCTCTGTCACCTGATTTTTCTTCAAAGCACTTATCACCACCTAATATACAGTTGACCCTTGAACAATGCTAGAGTGTTAGGGGTGCCAACAACCCTCAAAACTCCACATATAACTTTACAGTCAGCCCTCTGTATCCGTGGTTCCCCATCTGTGGATTCAACCAGCCTCATGTGGTAAACGCAGTAGTATATGTATGGAAAATTATCCACCTATGGACCCGCACAGCTCACACCCATGTTGTTCAAGGGCCAACAGTATTTTATATAGTGTTTATCTCTCCATCCCTAGAATATAAACTCCATGAAAGCAAGCACTCTTTTTGTTCACTGCTTTTATTCATCACCACTTAGGACAGTGCCTGGCACACAGTAGGCAGTCAATAAATACTTATTGTGTGAAAAAATAGCAAAGGTATGTTATACTCCCCCACCCCACCCCACCCCCAAAGAAGAATCTACATCTCCTGTCTATGTGTGTTCATCTCCTCAATCAATATGAATGTTGGCTTCTATTCTCACCACTCCACTGAAAATAACTTTTCTAAGTTCACCAGTAAAATCCCAGTTGCACTATCTGAGGGTGTTTTATCATGGCAGACCTCTCTGCTATATCTGACATTGATGATTTCTCCTCTCTGAGAAACTGCACCTGTTGGCTTCTGTGATACCTCCTCTCCTGATTAACTTCGAAGGTTCCGACTGCTCCTTTTCTGTCTCCTTAAGTCTCCTTTCCTACCACTTCTCTCCCCTTAAATGCTGTAGTGCCTCTGGGTTTAGTCCTGGGCCTGCTAATATTATGATTCTGTATTCCTTTTGGGCATTCTCATCTATTCTCATGGTTTCTGCCACCATCTATAAGCTGGTGATTCCCAAATATGCAGGTCCAGTCCCAAACTTTAGAGTGCCTGGATGGAGTTAAGAATCCCTCTGGATGGACATTCCCTCTGGCTGTCCCCCATGCCCTATGGCTCAGCAGTTTCTAGACAGAACCTGCCATCTTCTCCTTACACCTCCTTCCTTCTGGTGAGCTAGGAGCTGTTGAGACCAAGGTAATGAAGAACACTCCTGCCCCAGGACCTCCATCTGCTTCTTCATAAAGGGGAGGGGAAAGATCTGTTTTCAGCCTAGGAGGAAATGCAGGGAAGCACCCCCAGCAAAATGGCCACCTCCGTAGCTCACCTCCTGGAGGCTCATCCCATCAGCCCTGAGTACTGCCGGCACCCTTTGGCTCTGCTACAAACCTTTGCCCTGGCTGTTTGTTGGGCAACTCCACCTGGGGGGCCCCAAGGACATCTCAAATGTAAGGTCATCCTGCCTCCCTCAATCACTGTTCTCCACATCAACAGCGGGTACCCCCAGCCTTCCGGGCTAGGAACCTGAAAGTCATTCTTGATTCCTCTAACTCATCCTGGTGATTTTCATTCTCAAGCATTTCTTGATTCCATCTTCTCCTCTAAATTCCTACTGTCATAAACCTTCTCGGGCTCTTAAAAGACGTCTGCTCTCTCAGACTTTCTCTGCACACTTCTCTAACAATTGCTTACTGCTTAGACTCCTTTTATTTGTGGAAGAGGGCATTTTTAGACAGAGCATGGCAGCCAACAGGATCTAACAGTTTTGTTTTCATTGAGGTTCTTTTCATAATCAATTTTTTATGTTGGTGACAATTTTTTTTTAATTTTGACATACAGTTTCCTTTTAAAATAAGTTTACTTACGTAAAAAAAAGTGAATAAAAATTAAGTGTATACTCGGTAGTAAAAATCGTGAAGATGGTTCAAGAATGACAGAAGTTTGGGAAACACTAAGATCCAAGACCCTTAAGGTAACACATTAGCTTGAACCATATGAAACTGAGGCTATATGACTATTCTTGTTTCGACCTACGAAAATGACAATTTCATTTGGGTCAACCCACTAGGGTCCTATGCTTTCTAGCTCCTGCCTATGTTCCAGCACAACCGTTTGCCACTGTCCTGCACACACAATATTATGTCTCTGCTCTGTGCTTTTGCCCAAGCCAGTCCTTCCACCTGGATACCCACACTCTTAGGACTCAGGTGTCACCATCTTCAGGAACAGTCCTGTCATCTGTCCCCCAAAGCAGGTGAGGCACTCCCCCTCAGTGCTTCCTTAACACAGTTAGAATGTCGTTCTGCATATTTGGCTCTGTCTCTCCTGCTAGCCTTTAGAGCAGGGTTTTTTGTTCTGTTTTGTTTTGTTTTGTTTTTCATGAATCCCTGTAGCCTCTGCTTGGCACACCTCAATTAATCTGTAGCTAACCAAGTGAGTGAGTAAATGGGTATCTATAAAGAAAGGAGTCCTAACTCTGCCTGGAGGGCCAGAGGAAACTTCAGAGAGGAATCATTTGATCTAGATCTTGAAGGATGAGAAGGAAGGAATTTGCCAGGTGAGTAGTGTGTGGAAGGCCACTGCAGGTGAGACAACAGCAGGCGAAAGGAACTGGAGGTCTGAGAGAGTCTGCAGTATTGGAGATAATGGTTGTCAAGTGGAGGGTATATGAAGGAGAGCCCAGGGACAAGGCAGCGCTCACAGTGTACCCCCCACCCAACCTTGGTCAAGGTGCCCTGAAACTGGTAACACAACCACAAATACTTCCAGTGGATGTTTATCTAAGGGGTGTGAAGACAAAACGCAGGTAATTTGAGCACAGATGCAAAACCAGCCACACAGAACCACCATGTTCAAGTCAGCATGACCTCCAGCCATACAGAACCACGATGCTCAAACTAGTGTGACCTCCTTGCAGCCCTCAAGGAACTTACTCTCTAGAAAAGCCATCGTGTAACCAAAAATCAGAGAAACTGCCACCACAAAGACCAGGGTTTTTTGTTTGTTTGTTTTAATGGAGTTGCTGGGGGTTGAATCCAGGACCTCATGCATGCTAAGCATGCGCTCTACCATTGAGCTATACCCCCCACAATAAAGATCAAGTTTGATCAGCAAATCCTCAGGAAGACCACTCCTGGGAGCAGAGTTGCCTAAGACAAGCAGATTGATTCAGAGATAAACATGGGTT